GCCCGTCGCCGCCCCGCCGCCGCCGTCGCCCCGCCGCCGCAACCCGCCTCCCCGCTGCAGCAGCCCCGCCTCGCCGGAGGTAACGCCGCCGTTGCCGCCGCCGGTTTTTTTAAAAACGATCCGTATTTTTTAGAAACCCTAGTTCATTTTTTTAGATCGGTTCACTGGTTTTTCTTGGTTTAGTTGCTTTGTGGACGTTCGTCCGTACGTTCGTCTTAACGAACGGTGTTCACTTGTTAGCCGCAGACAACGAACGTTCGTTCATTAGCCTGTTCGTCAGTTTTCTTTTTCTCGGATTTTCCGCGATTATTTTCAATCGCGAATCCTGATCCGATATTCATTTTAGTTTATCTTTTCGCTCGTTTGTCGGAATCAGGCGATTCAAGCGCCTATATCTTCGTGTTGAAACCCTCTTTCCGTTTAACCAACTTGAACAATTTTTTGCTACTGTAAAATTTGACCTTAGTCCAGATTAGTAAACGGGTCTTGTTTCTTTCGCCGTTTGAGTTTCGTTGCTCCGTTTGATTTGATTCTTTTCACAAACCGGAGTTCTTAAGTTGAACTTTCTGGTTAGATCTTCTTATTTTAGATTTACCCGTGTTTCTTCGCTTGATTGCTTATGTATGCTTTTGTTTGTTTGCGATAGAACATCCGGAGTGCGAAGCATGCTACTATGAATCCCTAGGTTTTGCGGATCATCAGCAAGGCAAGTAACACTTTGATCATACCCCTTTATCACCCAGTTTTTATGCATTAGTTCCAATCCTCAAACATTGCATGGTTAGGATGTGATTAACATGTGGTTTGGGAAGTAGTTGATGAGGTAGAACCTATTGCCCTGTTATATTCAAACCCTTGGGAGTTACTTCTATGTATTGCTTATATTGCTATGCTATGCTCGTAGAGATGGTGGGTGAGTGAAATCCATGACATATGTGAGATTGTTAATTAAGGGTTCAACTTAAGGTGGCAACTTGAATACACATCTGGGTGGATTGTTTGTTGGGCACCTGGGGAATCCAGTGTTGTCCTAGGATATCCCGGAGTACCCGTGTGATAATCCTATGGTCCGTCACCCAGGCTCAAAGGGAACTGAGATATTTTCATGCTAGAAACTTTCGTGTGCAGCCACAAGCTATTATGGGCTCTAGCATAGTTGAGTAAGTTGCGTGAAGCTTCCGAAGAGGTGGATCAACAGGTAGTGGGATGTAGGTTGGTATGGTCTGCCCGGAGTAAGGAGTTAATGCTTCTGAAAGACTGTGTCTCGGTCATCCGTTTCTCAAACACCCTGTAGTGCGAGAAATCCAACGGAGGAGATCGAGTCTTATGGGGAAAAGTGCGCAAACCTCTGCAGAGTGTATAAACTAATCATGGTTAGCCGTGTCCCCGGTTATGGACATCTTGAGTAACTAGTACTTCATAAGTATCTCGTCACTCTAAACTAATATTGTTGGGTTGTTAATTACTTTAATTGGGATTGAGTTGGAGGAACCTTCTCAATGATGTTTCAACTACCATGATAGTTAAATAAAATATATTCCTGTGTTGTAGGGAAAAA